CCGCGGCTGGTTATCAATCGAATTAACAGAATACATTAAGTACATCTGGTGGTTATTCAAGCATCGGCGCGGATAGCGGTACGCATAAAATTCCAGCTAATTCCCTGTCATCATTGTCACAATGAAAGGCTAAACACACGATGTTCAAAGAATAATCCAGCGATCGAATCTCCGGTCGGCTTGGTCCCTTTGATGACTGCGAATAGATCGTCACCACGCGCTGGCCTCTTGAAAGAAGAAGAAAGGAAGGAAGGAAGGAAGGAAGGAAGGAAAGAAGGAAGGAGAAGAGTTGAGACAGCGTGGAGACAAAACGAACCAATTCTCGGGCTTTTACGATCATTCTCCACGCTCTCACCGCGTCATTAGTTGCTTGCTGGATAGATACAAGCTCGTATTACGAAAGGGAATCCCCCTTCCCGTCGCGTCGCGTCGCATCGCGTCGCGTCGCGTCGTTGAGACTCACCCTTTCCGAGAAACAATCTGTTACAGTGGTCCACTTGAATGGCGAAACGTAAAAATACCCCTCGAGTTCCCACGTGGCCGGCTCAATGGACCGGCTCATGGCAAGAAGGGGAGGGAGGAGGATCCTCGAGGACGGCAGACGGAGTAGAAGGATCAAGCACGAAGAAGTTGACCTGTGATGAAGAAGGAGAGGACGACAGAGGGGGAGGATGGATTCGTCGCGGAGTGCGGTTTTCAACGAAGCCAATTATTAGATGCGTCTCGAGGCAAAGAGACGAAGAAAGGAGCCCCGGATATCGATGTGAAATACGTGGGAATTTATATTTTGTCGTGTACGTAATTGGGAACGCGTCGCGTGAAAATACCGTGGGTTATCTTTCTGCACGTTTCTATGTCACCGTAAGAAATTTAAGTGGAATTTTGGAATTAATTAGAAATAATTTTTCCAATATATCGTACATATGAAACTCTTTAATTAATCTCTGCAGGTTGAAGGGGTAACTAGTGCAAAATCGTAATGACAAGAGTCATTCTTCTGCATTGGACATAAAATTGTAACGCACCCTTGTGTATCGTCTTAAAGTCACGGCCACGTATGACCGCTCATTTAGGAGGGCCATTCATCCTCGAGACACTTCTCTTGTCCAGCGCAGCGGTCTGAGAAAGCACCGGTACGATATTTCTCTCCCTGTCTATCATTTTCTCTTTAGGCCCGTGCAGGCCTCATTCGAAATGGAACGAAACGAATTACCCGCGTTGTCGAGGACACGTGCTCTTCGGGACTCGTCGCGTATCCCTTCGTCTTCTCTTTCCCTCTTTAATTGTGTGACGGCCGCTTGGGCGGGCACCGCGAACAGGGTGGGCGGTGGAGAGAGGGATCAAACATTTATTATTCCGAGGGATAAGTCCCTGTAAATATGTACAACGAAAATAAAGAAACAAAAAGGAGGGGACGAATGGAATGTTAACCCTTTCAGACCCCTTTGCGTACTTTCGGTGCATTATATCTTAGTCGCTCTTCGTGGTTGTTGGCTGCTTCCTTCCTTGAAATATGTACTTTTTCTTGAAGAATGGTTTTGTTGCTGCGGCCATTTCGCGTTTTCATTTATTTTGGAGCGGCGAAGCTTTTGGCTCCTCTGAAAGGCTAAAGAGCTTATGTTAAGTTAGGTGGGATTGGGGTTAGTATCCCTCCGCCCCATTTTATTTCCTTTCACCTAGCCAAATGTACCCTGACCAATAGATACACCTTCTTCTTTTCCTTGTTTCTCCCTGTCTACTTGCTGCATCTTTGTGCAGGTCGGCTAAATCGAAGAGAGGAGACGCCGCCGCAGGGACACTCGTTCCTCTGACAATGGTCCATCCGACCGCCATTGTATCCAGCTACATTAATTGTCTCTTTGAAGACCGATACCTGCTCCTCCCTATTTCATTCCTTATCTCATGTTTCGATTCTGGCACCTTTTTATACATTGATCTTGTTGTTGGTAGGGGTTGATAAGGGATGAAGAGACAGATCAAAAAGCTGTGATGTTCAAGGTTTGAATCTGAGGGGAAGAAGGTGAAACGTTTTCTTCTTTGTAAGGGAGGAGTGATTGATGTTTGAGTTTGGGGTTAGAGATGTGTAAATAGAGGATGTTTCATCTTGATCCGAATCGGATCAGAGGTAAACAGGGGACAATAAGTACTGATGATTATTGTTAAAAATTTGAATTTGATTCTTGAGAAAATTCTCGTATTAATAATTAAGCATTACGAAATTCTCTTTTCTAACTGATAGTCAATTTTTCAGTCATCTTTGACAAATAAGAAGTATTAAAAATTATTAGAAACAGGTGACCGTAATTAATATCAGCCAAATTACCATATCCTTCTCGGTAAGTTGCTTTCAAAATCACCGAATTTGACGAAAAACGAGCCACTGAGATCGTCCAACGAGATCCCCGTAAATCGTTGGACGATGTTCGCTGAATTACGAGCGATATCGAAGAAGGGCACCGGCGATATAATTAAGGAGACGATCATCCTCTGCTCGTGTCTCGCGTTGGAATCCAAATTTTATGTCGGTATCATAAAAGCGCGTGACGGCAGAAGAATTAGGACGGCACTCAATCCCTCCACCGTGGTCCTCATAAGGACCACTAGAAATATATAAAGGTTAATTCACGCTGGAACTGTCTATCAAATTAACCACTTTTAAAAAGTTAAAAAATTGGCAAAGAAAACAATATTTGTTGTAATTTATAAGAAACTCCACAGAAGATAAGGGGGTTAAATGAGGGTTAATTTGTAACGATGATGGATTTTCATATCATTTGAAATACATATTACAGTAGATTGTCGTTATACCGTCACCGCGCGAAAAATTTGTAATGCTTCCGGGCTCTCATTTGAAGGGAGGAAGGAAGATAGAAATGTATCATTTTCATAGACTATGCTGGCGTAAGGGTGGCAGTCGAAAGACAGTCTGGGCGGCAGGCGGAAGATCGAACAACCGTGTCCGTGAGCCTTAAATCAACGAGGTTTAGATAAAGAGAGAGCATTGCAAAGGAAGAACGATATATGGATGAGTAATATGGGTTCTTCGCTACCCTCACGAGGACGAGGCAGAAAAGAAGACGAGGGTGTCGCGATTCCCTGCTGTGCATTGATGGCCTCATCTAGCCTAGAAGAGCTCGGGAATTCAGCGGTAATTATCTTTTCTTCGGGCCGACGGCAACCAGAGGTGTTTCTGCTGTAATCGGTCCTCGAAAGCCTGGATCTGAACTTCCATCAAGATGTTCCTTGATCGTCACGTAATGATCTGCTGAATCTGTTGGCAATTTTTAACGAATCTGGAAGTGTATTAATTGATTAACCCTTTTCCTCTTAACGACGTACAGTAGAATTTCATGTATTTGGAGTATATTTGTGCAAATAAAAATTTTATTGAATTATCATTATTGCTTACGTTTCTTGGAATTGTAAAGCCATAACCTGGAATCATTTCCTGAAATGGCTCTCACATGGCCTTCCATCCTTGACCTATTTCTTATTCATCTTTTCAAAAGTTCCATATAATCCTTATGAAAATTGCTCTTCGGTCCTTCGGTCCTTCGGTCCTTCGGTCCTTCGGTCCTTAGGTCCTTAGGAAAGCCTCTCGAAGGCGAGTTACCATGTGGAACAAAAGAAGGAATAAAGACCGGCGGCGCGAGTCAGGTGCTAAATAATTTCTGTCCCAAAGCCAGGAAAAAACGATCCGCTATCTTCGATTCTTCCACGGCCACATGACGTGGATATAAGTTACGAGCGTTCGAATAATTACACGGTTCGGGTTCGAGTCGAGTCGCGGTCAGCGGAAGGCAAAAGACAATTTTACGCAGCGGGGCACCGTGGTCCCAGGCGACCCAGTGGCAATCTTCTCTTCTGCCAACTATTCTGACCCATGAAATCGACAGGCTCTTTTTCACGGAAGAATCAGCTATCGAGAGCTTTTAATGTATCCCCAAAATGAAATATTATACGTAGGATGTATTTTTCTTCAACGCTGACTGATATTCGTTTTGATAAATCATTAGATTGCTAAAAATTATTGGAACTAAAAAGTTTCATGGCACAATAGTTGTCTAGAGGTACAAAAATAAAGTTACAATCATCATAGACGTTAATCTACTTATCAACAACCCAAAGAACTTGAAAATAAACAAATTTTCTCGCGCACTTTGGCACAAACAGGGGTCGCGGAACGGTGACACTCAAAGATTTACGATATTATTCATTACTTATTTCGAGAAAGAATGGAGGAGAGGCAGAAGAGGCCGAAATATATCTCTTTCACCACTTTGGACGCGAGTCGGTGCAGCCGAGTAGCAGCGTATAATCGAGAAGCAGGTAGTCGTATATCGGTCCTGGATGAGTAATATGGCGGCCCTCGCTGATCGTGTCCGTGGAAAGATGCATATAATACATAGAGAGAGGGAGGGACGAGGGGCGAGGGTGTCGCGACATCCCGCTGAGCGCTGATGGATCCCTGGGTCCTAGGGGTCCCGGGTGCACGATTTCGGTAATTAGCTTTTTCGTTCAGTGCCAATTACGCCGCGAGTGATTTACATAAAGCAGGCCCATGGACCCGCTTGTCGGATAGCACCGGCCGGACTAATGAAGGCAACTTTCTATATTGACGGATGTCCCTTTGGGTACCTGATCAGGGCACCGCCATCCCTCGGAAGCACATAGCTACTTGCACCGTTTTAGTGCATTTTTATAAAACAAAAAATAAAATTGTTGATAAACAGTTTATAGTACCTATAGGCATAAAGATAAAAAAGGATAACATTTATCCCATTAATTTTGTATAAAATCAATAAAAGGAACTGTACAGGAAAATATTCATGAAAGCCATAAAGTGGAGAAAATATAATCACATATTTTACCTTTCTTATTGGAACAGGTTTTATGAGTAGACCCAACAGGAAATTGATTCTTACGTAACATGGAAATAAATCAAAGATAATCATCAGACGAAAATTCAGTTCATTGAAACTTTAAAATCAACCTAGAAAAACAATTATCAAATATTTAATAAAATAACATATCGTAAGTGTTTTCTACCCCTGTATTTTCTCTAAGGAAACCTCGTTGCTCCTTACTGTACCACCAAAAACTTTCCATCCTAATACATTACCCACGCCATATTTACGATTTTCAGCTTCCTATGACGTCAGTCCGCGAAAATCCATATATCAAAGTTAGAAAGCGCATCCGAGAGACGATGAGTACCAGAGCCGAGAATTCTTCAAAGGTGATCAGCGGGGGTCCTCCCGAACGGTCCCACCTCACGACACACGGAATTATTCTTTGGCAGCCATGTGTTGGCCGGTCAAAATTTGTGGTTTTCCTTAAACGGCAGCTTCCTCGTGTTTCCACTGGCTGGCAGGTTCACCCCTTTTTCGGAAAAAAAAAAAAATAAAAAAAAATAAAGGGAACGTTATTAATCGTGGTGCGGTGGCCGTTGAAAAGAGAGGCAGAGACAAGGAGCACGAGGGCAGTACGTCGTTCTACCTGACACCAGAGGAGGATGCTCAGGTAGCCGGAGAATCCTTTGACCTTTCCACCGGCTGTCCTGCGGGATACGTCTCGTTCCTGTCCACCTTCTGTCTTTTCTCACCGAAAGAATTCCGCCAGCGGCCGATTCCTCGAGAGAGGGCGGGGTAGCCTGGTCTTCGGTCAGCTCCCGCTATTCATTTTGCTGCCTCCGAGAGAATGGGAGAATTAATAAGTGACATCTAGCCGGAGAAAAGGTTTTACGCGGCTCGCGAGCAGAACAGAAAACGAGAAGGGAAAAGGGAGGACTTTTTCAGCTCCCTTTCACGCGTACCGTCTTCGATTCGCCGCGGACTTCTTCTTTGTTGTGCCGGTGCTGCCCTTTGTCAGCGAGCCGAGAAACGAAACACCTTGTCTTAGGTCGCGTATAACACAATGCCCCGCACGATAAACCCAAATGGGAGACATGGGTCGCCTGACACCCTTCCACACACCCCTTCTTCCTTTTTTCTTGTAGCCTGCCTTTGAAGGGATGGTGACACGGGACACGTGCTCCTTTTGGTAATTATGAACCATGACAGTGAACTAATGATGGTGTTCCGTGAGTTTTTTTAACGTTGCTGTCTTATGGAACAAATGTTACATTTGGTATATAATAATATTGCTTGGTAATACTACTATTTTATAGGGTAAGCTATGTACATTAATTTTGACACTTTGAGTAAATTTAGATAATATTATTATCACAGAAAAGTACTAACCTCCAGAGGTTATCCGAAATTTTCGAATTTTCTCATTCTTTAATACCTGTCCCATTTGATCCAGCCAACCTTTCCTTATCTTAACTTTCCTACTCTTCCATTATCGATTCAAAATTCCATGCAACACATTCACAATTCCACTGGCAGTTCACAGACACAGAAAAATGATCTTCCAAGTAACTTCACCGATCAAATTTCGATCAGCTATCAAACTCAGGTACTCACGCCTAAGTGTCAGATCTCGTGTTCACGAACAAGATAGGAAAGAAGTGGTATTACGTTAAAGGAGGACACCGCAACGATCTCAGGGTGTACCGTTCGAAACGCCCGAAGGATATGCCGTGGAGGATGCAAAAAAGGTAGGATGATCGGGCAGCACTTCCCACGAAGTGTGCGAGCGATCAATGGGGGAAGCGAGCCGCTGCATGACGAATGGGGGCGCAGCCAATTTAGATGCATAGAGGTCGTGGCATAGGGTCGTCCGACGACCTGTCGTGTCTCATTCCTCCGACGACTACGTCTACGGGTCTCTTTCATTCGGCGTAACGAGGACGATCGTGCTTGCTTACGTTCAGCTTTTCTTGCATGCTCATTATCGAAACCGGTGAAAGGCTGTGCCACGTTTGATGCTGGACATGAAATCCATCTCTAATCAACTGGGTCTAGATCGTCAGTCGCGAAGATGGTCTTTGATGGTTCGATCCAGAGATTAGGAAATGCAGAGACAATTCACTGAATCTATGAAGTTTGATTGAAATTGCAGATGTTATCATCAGCAGCAAACAGTTAACCCCGGCAGCAACCCTGAAGAAGCCAACACAGAAAATTTGTACCTACATTCTCCCATATTTCACATTAGGATCGATATTGTCTCGCGTCCTGGGTGGCACACCAGTATAATTACTAACGCGAAACTGTGGGTCAGCTTGCTGATTGGCCGATTAAGGCTCGCGATGACGAAGACCTCTCAGAGGCAGATGGAAGGTTACGAAGGACGAACACTAGCATTGCGTCTTCATTAGAAATCCTGAGAATCACCCAAATTGATAACGGCATCCGAAGGCTGCTGTAAGGGTTCTCGTAATACTTTAAAGAGGACTCACCTCCACCCTCGCGCAGCGGGGTGTCTTCGGATACGAAATAAGAAGAGGCCACTTTTGCCTCTTCTGTTTTTCCAGTTGCTTTTCGTGATCGTCTATTTACACTGATAAAATAAATAAATAAAATTTCTAGTCGCAAAATAATTTCTTTAAAATATACTCAATTAATCATTTCTCTATAAAACTTCAAAGGAGGCAATGACCTCTGTAGTTAAAAATAAAAAAAGAAACAAATGAGAATCTTCCTCCTATCTCAGGATATAAACGGATTACCATAATCCCGGACAGATTTCTCTCATAAACGATCCGTTCAGCCGCAATCGGCAGTGTTAATAAAAGACGCGAGGGTAGCATTCTGCGTTGAAAGCGACAACGTCGAAACGACGCCGTAAAGTTTCGCGTAAAATAAAGAGAGTTCAATGGATTCTTCTCACCATGGGGTATCCTCTCTTCCCTATCCCTCACCTGTCCTTCACCTGCTTCTACTGTTCTGGATCTTGAAGGGGTGGTTGGCACTGGCTTCTCTAACTTTCCTACAAATTTTAAACAATTAATATTATTAAATTCAAGTAGCTCAAGCATGTAGCTCAAGTAACAAAAATATTTCCTTTCGAAATAATAACAATTTATTTTTGTTACCAGCTGATTTGACCCAGTCCTAGTTACGCCAATGATAGCGGGGGAGGTGTTCCCCGAACGGTTCCTCGTCATCTTGGAGTCCCGAAGGAACGAGGGAACAAAGTCTGGAAGCAGCCACAGCCCTAGCTGGCTGACCGGTGGAAGATTCATAAATTATTTCAGGAAAAAAGGAGGAAAAGTATTTCCAATTACAGTTTTTTGTGAAGGGTTGCCGCGGGCCACGCGGCAGGGGGTCCGCTTAATGGCGACCCGCGCTCACCGCTCCTCCTCCTCCACCGTATCGTCTTCGTCTTCTTCTTCTTCTTCTTCTTCTTCTTCTTCTACTCCTTCATCCGAGGCATCTCCACCTCCAACACCGTCTCTCTACCGATTCTTCTGGGTCCTTCGACGCCGCCAACGCGGCGTATATTCTTTTTCTTTATCCGGCCACTAACTCGGGCTACGTTACTCCTCCTTCTTCGTCTTCGTTTTCTTCTCAACGTCTGACGAGTGTCGGTGACACGAAAGAGGATCGATCATTCTGTGGTTTGGACTGGTTGCGGATTCAAACGTAGGGGTGGGAGGCTGCGAGGTGACAGGATTGGGACCATTTTTGGTACCGTTATGGAGTATTGTTCAGTTTTGTCAATTGGAGCGGTAAGATCAAGGGGTTCGTTATGATTCTCTATGCTTAATGGACGAATTAAAATAGACTCGTCATATATGGTATTGGCTAAGAACGCAATTAGATATATCCCTTCCATAATTACCCTAAGGGTTGGAAATGTATCATCTGTCACGAAAATTCAACAAGTCGCGCAAAATCGATCGCGAAACACCGGTGAAGGAGGAAACTCGGGTGAAGGAAAGACGGGCGAGTTAGAAAGAGGGCTGTTGGCTTGTTTATGGTCGTTCAAGGCGGACTTCCCGGAATGCTCGGCCCGTGTAAAGCGGACCTAACCAAGCGACGGATCCGGCCACGACCCCGCATGCGGGCTCGCTCGATCTCTGAGAGCCAGGAACATCGAAACGCAGGACGTATTGCTCTGTCACCCACGGACCGGCGATCTATTAGTTATGAATATTGTTGCCCACGGCGGTACATGACCGGCTCGGCCGCGTGGTGTTCTCCCAAAATATGTACGGAGGCTCGCATACGATGTCCTCCCCCTCCTACATGCGGCTATATTCATTTCGAAATGTCACGTGAACCATAGATGAACTTTATGTCACAGAACAGCAAAATTGGTTACTGCCCGCGTTAATCATATTTTCCCGTCACTTTTCAAGTTCCCAGAAACGTGATAAAATATACAAATTTTGCCTCTTTCCGTGGGTCGTGGGCCGTCGTCCACGATTATGGTTTAATGGAAAAAATAAACAAAATTAAGTTATCACTGTAAATAGAAAATTAAATAAAATTTCACATTGCTATAATTCTATTATTCTTCTATCCGTACCTTATTTCGAAGCCATTCTAAACAATGGATCTGATGTACCGGTTAACATTTTCCATAAAATGTTACTAAAATGCCACGAGGATCGTTCGAATAGAAGGGAAGGAGATCGAAGGCGGTCCCGAAGAAGAAGAAAGAGCAATAGAAGACGAAGAAGATAAAGAAGAAAAAGAGTTCGATTCGTCGTGCATTCCGTCGGCGTACCCTTTGAATGACAGATCGATAATTGATCATTATTATCGTATGACTGGGCCCTATTGTCGAGATATTTCTGCGTCCATTCCTCTCCATCTCCTTTTCGGACTGCGTGAATCCTTTCGGAGACTTTCAATGCCGCACCCTGCTTGGGGTACCGCCTGCGGGGTCAAAAGTCAGTCGTGTTACTTGAACACCCGCCGCGAGTGTCGCGCATACCAGCCCAAAATCTTTTCCAGTCTAAGCACTAATCAAAGTGGAACAAGTTACTTTTTTAATGGAATAATAAATGGTAGTTTTGTTAAAAGTATAAATTAAAATTGAGCGTTATAGCAAAATTCATTAACAAATTCTGATTATCTTTGACAGCTGATCAGTAGAAGAATCCCATTAATTCCATTCATCCCATTCATAAGGGAAAAGATTTTCCTTTAAGCTCCTGGTAACATATCAGATATGTATGTATTGATACATGCAACATCAAAAGGCGCCGGAACGACGCGACGCGGCGAGGCGGGACGCGTCGCGACGTTTGAAATATTTCGAAAAAAGAAGGTAGCACCTTCCTTTCCACGTGGAGGTATCGAATTGCGTACATTAACACCGCAACAGAGCGGCGCGCGGCGCGACCGCGTACAAGGAAGCAGCCGTGGAAGGATGCATCAACAGGCGTTGACCGCATGCGGTGTAAACTCGCCTTCAGGGGACCTGGAGTTACCCTCGAAACCCCTGGCAGGGGGTCTGTACACCGGCTTCTCCTTCCTCTTTTTTAAAAGTAAGGATGCCTGTCACCGATAGTGATTTGTTGAGTGTATTTGCATTTTAGATTTAGACTGCCGCGCCTGTTGCTGCCCTATCTCTTTCTCTCACCCGCACTGACCTCTCTCCACCTGAAGATGGAAGCATCTCCAATTTGGTTAGTCCTTTCTCGTCTCCGCCGCGCTGCGCCGCTTCGATTTCTGCTTTCTGGTCACTCAGATAAGGGTGCACGGAAAGGGGGTGGGACGGAAAAGGGATGGGAATTTCGTTGGTTCAGGAATGACATTAGTCATATACCATACCCCGATTGCTAGCGCGGAGACTTGTTTATGCGCGTTTAAAGAATGATTAGGCGATGGAGTCGCGACGGGGGGCACCTTGGCATCCCTTCACCCAATCCCTCCGTCCTTCCTCAATTTTACTCGTGATTCTTCTTCTACGTTCGCAGACGTCGCCGCCTGCTATCGCAGCGTGAAAATGACCGCACACTTTCCTTCGTGATTTTTCATTCTTCTTTTTGTACCTGAAATCATCCGATCGATGATCAATCGAACTCTTTAGAGGGGTATTGTGGAAGAGTAGGGAGTTGCGATGTATTTTACAGAATTGTATTATATGTATAATAGATGTATTAAGTGTGCTTCAACGGTCAAGTTGGTCAGCCCATCAGATGATCCAAAGCCAAGCATCGGTGGTGAGGTCCTGACTAATGGAATCACGCTTTGCCTCCTGGTGATACGTATCCTCCACGAATTTTTCTCTTACCCTTTTCTTCTATCCTAATCTTTCAGATTAGCTAGCCACCTAACCCGTCTGCTATTCAGAAACGGACGTTCGTTCATCGAGTCTGGAGTTATGCGTTATTTATACCGTAGAAGAAGTCTGGAGGCAAGGCGGCAGTGCTGAAAGTATCACATTTATTTCATTGGCCCTGTTCGAAGCTAAGGCTTAGCATTATGCCGGGTCCGCACGACAGGGAGCACTTTATCCAGTCGCCTAGGAAACAGTAGGGGCCGTGTCACCCTGAAAAACATGGGTGACGCCACTGGGATCATTGGTACTCTTTTATTATGGGTGCCGTCTTGTCTGAGGATAGCAGATATTTGTTATGGTGGAGGAGTGTGTTGCATGGGCGTGCTCGGTTCGAACGTAGCGTGTAGACATTCCGAGGGAGATTTTTGTCTGCTTTCGATTGAACCGTGAGGCTGACGAGGCTGACGAGGTTGCATCGAACACGATTTGCATGATGGATGTTCCGGGATGAATTACGAATTAATTTCCCAGATGATCGAATACTGACTGATTCGGAAGGTAACATTGACATGTCATTTGCAATGAAAAATCCTATACGAATGTAGGTCCCATTTTTAATACTTACCTATGTGACCTATGGTTATAAAAATTGAGAGAGTGCAATTAATTAAACTAAATATACCTACAAGTCTTACCAATTAGAAGTATGTCGTTAGATAATGTCAACACAAAAATCTACAATTATTATGAATTTATGCTGTTAGTTATGAATTCAAAACGTTAAGCAAAATTTTCACAGGGGCCTTCCGTTCTGAATCATTGAGAACACTATATTGATTCTACTGGTGACATGCTGGTTCCGCATCAGTTTACCAACAAGTTAAAATATTCATTGACAAACGTCTGTCAGTTTCTGGTTTCTGTCGTGCATAAGAAATTCTAACACACCCCTCGGACACCCTTTACGTCCAAACGTCACAGTACCTTATGTTTATGATATAGCATCATAATTCAACAGCTATACCATAATAGGTACCTGTCAATTCATCGAATCATGCAGGATAGTGTTCGATATTAGATACAGAAGAATAGAATGACAACACGTCAATTATTTTGTTCTTCAGGTAGGAGGGTTTTACTTTCTACCTTTTTCGCAGTTCAGTCTACACGTGATCGTTTGTTGTTGTACACGTGCCATCAGTTTTGCTACACCTGAAACACAAGTGTGAAATTTTAAGATTCTAAAATTCTAAAGCTCCAAAGTTCCAAAATTTTCAACTTGATCGATTCAGCTTAAGTTCAAACCATTCAGTGTTACAGAAAAATGGAATATCGTAAGAAGAATGCGTTCCAGTTACCTTGTTATAAGGCATTCAAAAAGTATTTGATATTTATAGGACTATATCCATTTCAAACGGAACAAAGTCATAAAATTATCGTGACCGTGATGGTTTTTTCTATAATCAGCCTCTTAACACCGTCAGTAAGTAGAGTCAATAGATCCGAAATAAGAAGAAAATTATAAAACAAATACGATTGACCAGTTATAGCGAACATTTTGATATATTTATTAATAATATTATTAATTTTCCGGTCGATTATTATATTCCAAGCTGCTAAAAATATATTCGTCAATGCGCGAACACGATTTGGACACAGTTATGGAATGTGTGCCAATTGTAGTTTCAACGCTGGTTGCCTTGATAAAAATACTAAATCACAACATTAACAGGAAAAAGGTATTTAGATCACTGAATTGATCTAAAATAAAAAAATCATCAAGTACTACCACTTTGCAGTTTGAAAACATGTTCGACCGTATGGCTAAACAATGGGAAGTCTCTGAGATCAATGGCGAATTACACGTTCTAAATGAAATCACCGAGCAAGGAAGTAGAATGGGCAGTTTATATAGAAGTACATACTACAAAATTTTTCAATAATGAGCTGTTAATTTTAAAAATTGAATAAAACTTTCGATTTTTTTCAGTTAGTTTATGGGGATTTCTGGTACTATTCATATCTCTTCCGTTGTCTTCTCCTTTTTTGGATATCGTCGTACCGTTAAATGAAACCCGAGCAAAATTACCCTTATTCCAGCTGAATTATATCGTAGACACCGATGATCATTTTTATATCGTGCATTTACATTCGGCGTGGTGTTCCCTTGTAATTGTGTTGATTATAACCACCATCGATTCATTGTACCTGGTTATCATTCATTACTGCTGCGGATTGTTTGCTCTTTGCGGGTAAGTTTAATTATGTATTCACTAAGGTAGGTAAGCACAATTTTTCTATATAATTATTCATTCAAATTTTCAAATATATCACGTACTCATAATAATATTTATATCATCGGAAAGAATAAAAATTTAACAAATATATGTAATATCAGTTTAATCCTTCTATCTCTTTAAATTTATACATTAGTCAACCAAAATGCTATAGACGTTCCACTGTCAATAATCAAATAATTTTTTAAATATACTCAGGTATCAGGTTAAGAAAGCATCGAAAGTCGGAAGAGCGATTGATATTAAAGACAATCGATTTAAAAGCTGTGTGATCACTCATTACGAAGCCATCAGGTTAATAGAAATACAAATTAATACTAAATTATGAAAATGCATAGAATTTTACTTAATTTGTTCTTTCGTTACACACAAAGCTTTTACGAGCATATGGACGAAAGTACTCGTACCAGTTACTTGTTTCAAGTTGGGTTTAACATGATTGGTATCACTGTAACAGCTGTTCAAGTAAGGGTTGTTTTGTCAAGAAACAAAAATTCGATAGTTATATTAATTGGCAAATTGGCAATATATACATGAATTCTTTTATTCATTAGGCTGTTATGTACGTTGATCAACCGAGGGAATCTTTTAGAATTGTTATGTTCCTATTGGGTCAACAATTTCATCTGTACGCCCTCAGTGTACCTGGCCAAGTGATGTTGGATCGAAGTTTGGAGTTAATTAATGACATGTACGTATGTATACATGCACCAAACATGAGACTCACGTATCACGAAACGTGTTAATTAGTTTTGATGTACTTGAAAGCGATATATTTAAATTTTATGATAGATACGTTTCTAAATGGCACGAGATACCATTGAAATTCGAGAAAACACTCCACATAATGCAAATTAGATGCAGCAAACCATGTAAGCTATCAGCAGGAGGATTATACGAAATGAACATCGAGAATTTTGGCACGGTATGTACTATATTATCATATTAATATAATTGCCGTTACATAAAAGTAACAATTAATAATCAAAGTGATTTTTTTTGAAGATCTTTAAAACCTGTATATCGTATTTTACAATTTTGCTATCACTGAGGGAGTGATTCATAGAAAATATTTTATGTGACGAAGAGAACTAGGTTTTATATGATATAAAACAGAATGTTATTAAACTATGTATAAATAATATAAGTGTAAATAAATAGTACATGCGTTAACGCATCCAGATGACCATTCCCGTGGAAACAGTGTACCTATATTGACTCATCAGAGTGATTTTTATTCCCACTGCTCTTTTACTCGAGTTGCTTCAACACTGTGAAGACCGAAGAATCCCGCAATGCGTAAATCAGCCGCGCGGTCAACAACGAGCGGCTAGACGAATTTGAAAAATGGAATAACATTCGTAAGGAGCGCGTTTGATCGCCGTGTTGCTTTCCACCTTATCCAGTAATAGATTTACAAAAGCAAGATCGGTGACACGTGCATGAAACCGAGCGGATGCACACAGACGGTACCTCATTAATCTTATCACGAGGTGGCTCCTTAGAAGGGCGGGGTCGCTGGTGTCATTAATCAGCCAGCCGGGACTAATAATTCGGTGTCGTGAACACGATAAGTCCGTTGTCTCGTTCATCGGGATAGCTATTCCGCGGCGAGGTGTAAAGTTTAAAATCGGAAATTATTGAAACAGCCGAGCCGGACGGGCCACGAAATAGGGGATGGTTTTAGTTTTACGCGTCAGAAATTAACATCAAGGCTCACGAACGAGGTCGGATGCATCTCGGGCACCCATTGGCAACACACGTCGCGTCGCGTCGCGTCGCGTCGCGTCGCGCGGGAAGCGCGAGGAGCGGCGGAAAGATAGACGGAAGAAGAGGAGCCGACGCGACGCGACGGAACAAGCGATGGTACACGAAGGAAGAAACGGCGGGTACACAACCGCGGAGGTGAAGATGCGTGAAAGTGGAGGTGGTTGGTAGCGATCTAATTATCTACGCGGCGGGAAGCCGCGGCCTCCCTCTGCGCTTCACCACATTCAGGAAACAAGAGCAAATTGAAAGGTGCTCGAACGAGCCAGAGGGAGCGTGTACCCTGGAGATCGTCAGGCGATTTCGGTACACGGCGATCGGTCCCGAACCCTGATGCTCGCGCACAAAGGCGAGATCGTTTTACGATCTGATATCCTTTCTTTCGATCGGGCCAACACCGTCGAATTAGCGTCTTTCGTGGTGTAGCACGTGTAAACACGGTGAACGAGGATGAAGCAGCGCGAATGATAAATGAAACCGGGCAAACGGATTAATTTGTCTGGTTCTTTCTCGCTTGGCTGCGTAGTCGGTCAACCATTGCTTTCTGCGAAATTGTTACCCGAGGGTTGTACAATATTCACCGGCATTTCTTTTATTCCTATGGTTGTTTTCGTTGAAATGATATATTTCTATTTCCTCTCCCCGTTTTCAACTGACAAATTTTCCGCTCCTACATATCCGTCGGAGATAATATAACGAGAGTCTCCTGTATTGTATATAAGTTACACGGTATAGATACTTTATGCGACTTTATGCAAAATTCAAATATTTCCGACACAAGTGTGTTCCAAGATAAAGGTTCCTAATATATGGCACAATAAACACATAAATTAATCTATCGAAAAAATTTGTCGATATTAAATTTACAGAAAACGCAGGCGAGTTGATCGGTTTGACTTCTGAAAGGCTCATTTCTCATCTACACTTACCAAGGACCGATTTATCGTTAGGCAAAACGTATTAGGATCGAGCTTGAACACCGTTCCTTCGTTTCTAATTCAACGTAGGTCGGTGATCGTGAGGAATTTCTCATGTCACGCCATGTTACATTATTTATCGATGGTGAACACCGTTTGGTAACCTTTTACCTCGCGATGCTAAAGGGCAGAATGGTGCTTTTCCGGAGCGCGAAGTCGATCGATCGATCCTTCGCAACTGTTCGTATCGTTGCTTCTTTCCTGTTTATTCGTTTAATCCATTAAAAGTGTCCAATCAGTTATAGCAAAATTTCCTTCAACCCTCTGCTTTTGATGATTTGAAAATTAATTTTATATTTTCATTTGTTATATTTCGTTCCAATGAAATGGGTGTCCAACTCTGGTTGCAATTTATTTTGGTTACTGTTGTATGGGTTTAACGGCCAGCAGTGTATGTTAAGTTTAGCGGGTGTATGCTAATTCGGAGCGCTGTAAAGAAGATTTATTGGGTAGCCAGGAACGAGTCGATTGCTTGTTTCAAGTCTGACGCTTCACGCGAGATGTTTGCAACATTGTGTTGTTTAAACAAGTAAGTTGTGAATGTTTAAGATTGATGGACTTTTATCGAGGTCGTTAAGGTATTGATATGGTTATGCGAGTGATTTATTGTTCAGAATATCATTATTTTGTGATTTTTAAAATTATCTGCATGAGAAACGAGTTTTAAATATGTAATTTTGCAGTATCTTGAAAGTTTATAGTATCGGTGTGCAATGAAATAATACAACTTTATCAATTTTTGTTATTTTTGATATTTTTATTTTATTCTTTAGCATTATTAATATCATTGTCATTAGTAGCATGCCGTATTTTATTTTCAACGCCTTGTGCAGTAAAGTTGATATCGGAATGACTAGCAAATTAATTGAGAGGGTACACTGTATAATACTGTCTCATTGGTATTTTTAGTATGGCCACAAATAAAAAGGGATAAGAATTGTCTTTGTGTTTAGTAAAGATAACCGTATGGACGTCGTTTATTCGCACAAACCAAATATAGTAGTTGCCGAGGTCCAGTCTCAAAATCGTCAGAATGGAATTCTAGCTGAGGTGACGCAATGGAATTCCGGATATAAACGCCAAGACTGAATACTATGCTTTCAAAAAATAAGAGACAAAGAAGAATGACTTTTCATTCAATATAAATTTGTAATTTGACAGTCAAGTAAGTGTTACCACTATAGCCTTCTTTTTACACTGAAAAATATTACTAATTCCAAAAAGAAAACATTAATAATTTTTTAACAAAAGAAATTAATTGAAAATATAATTTTCACTGTAAATTTCTTAATCATCAGTATAATTTTATATTACACCATATGTCACTTTAATTAACTCCAAACATTTATTTCAACAAAAAAGAAAAATAGTTACCAATCTCTTCAATCTCCGAAGCTACTACACATTAATCAAGATTCTCATTTAACACTCTCTCTTTGATTGCTCCTATAGATCCAAAATATCTGCTATCTTCTTCGTTAAACACTATGAACTATCGAAACGACAACGAAAGAAAGGAACGAAAAGGAAGATTAAACGTGAGCATCAATCAATCGACCCATCGTGCATCAAAATTTAAAAATCAATTTCACCAAGGTCTTTGAATAGAACATCCTTACTAACACATTCAATATATTCAACCAATCGAAAAATTTGACTTTGTAGCAAATTATCCTTTGAAAAATTCCCATTGAATTTATAAATTGACAAATTTTCTGGCTGGTGATGTTGAAGACGAATAAGATAACAATTTCTATTATAAAAAATGACTTTTAATTATCCTTAGATTATCCTCATGACTAACTTCATTATATCTAAAACCCACTCGAAGAATGTTCTCCACCCTACCTCTGCGTTCCCTGGAGCAACTTAATTAACTGATCATTCCGCAAGAACTTGATCTCCCAATCTGCGAAAATCTTGAAAATTCGGGGTTGAAACGTTCCGATGTGGGAGGAGGAAGGCTACATACAAGGAAAGGTCGAGAAAAGAAACGAAGGGAATGAGAAGGATAAGTAGGAGGAGGGTGAAGGCGAAGGCGAAGGCGAACGCGAAGGCGAAGGCGAAGGCGAAGGCGAAGGAGAAGAAGGCGGCGGGCAAGAAAAGAGAAAGAAAACCGTCCACGGTGACGGTCAGCGAGCGCGAGATGAACCCTGACCCTTCGTCCGTTGTCGTCCATACTCGTTCCTGGTCGCTTGGGCCCTCTTTCTCCCACCCATGGGACCCAACGACTTCGTGGGGCTTTAGCGTGGGCGAAACTCCCGGCGTGGGGGTGTAAGAGGTCGGGTACGAGGTGGGCCGTGAGGAGAGGAGAATAAGAAGACGAGAAAGGGGCGGAGGGGGTGACGAGTTGGCCCGCGGGCGTCCCGAGACCGTGAGAACACCACCTATAATATTATTTAGTCTGCCTTGCTTCGCTTCTCCCTTTCTCTTTCCTTTGCTTACCTTCTATCCGCTGTTTCCTCCCGTCTCCTTTCTTCTTCTTCTTCTTCTTCTTCTTCTTCTTCTTCTTCTTTCTCGACCCTCCAGTCTGGCTGGGGATTTCACTCTGTTCTTCCTGCAGTAGGTACCACGCGTGCATGGAACGTGTCCGTCTTTCTTGCTCGTCGTGACGGAGAGGCAGCTAACTATAGGTGCTATACACGGTTTACTCTCGCGCATTAATTGCCGTCGTAAATTGTTGCACCTTTGCAATGGAGTGGCAGCACCGTGTAGAGTAGGCTCTAAATAGACGCGGGGGTGGAAAATGGTGCAGACCGTTAGGTGTGTTGGATTGTGAATTGGCGGTACCGCCGGATTAAATAGAGGTCCAAGGAAGCTACAGTCACGGGCTTCACTCTGCAACCATCCTTCCGGTTATTACCTATTTAAAAAAATATTCAATGAAATTTATTTATTATAGTCTTTTTTCTTTAGGATTAAATGTTATATCAATTTCAATTTTTAATCAAGTTTATCAACCAAGGGGGCCCTCGAATAACAGAGTATCGTAGAATTCGGACTGCAAATTGGCGAATAACTCGCTAAGGAACAAGCAACGTCGTATTTACATTGTTTATTACTCGACGTGCGTATCTGTCGTTGGTGACACACGCCATGCCGGAATTTGCTGTTCATTACTTTCACAGCTCACAGCATGTTACGTAAGTACCTCGTAATTCTTAATTCGCGACGTTTTAATGATAGCCGTGAACACAGAAGCACAGAGATTTACCGATACGTTGCTAGACAGAAACCAATTTAACCTTCGAGCTCTAGCTCTAGCGTCGTGTAATTGAATGAAAAGCTGTTCGCAAAATTTGACCAACAGCTATCGAACACCTACATTATTTAAAGTTTGACTTCCCTTCTTTTTTTTAATTGATTATTTGACTATACTAAAAAGACGACGCGACGGTAATTAGTGATCACAGAGAATAGACAGAAAAACCCTCAATTCCAATTGAAACATTATACATGCGTTAAACCCTAACTCGTTAGAGGAAGGACTAGGGGTTGTCACGAAGGCGCACGCGTATCCGCGCACGCAGTCACGCGTGTACGCGAGATTACGAACGAGGCGCGACGCGACGCCGAAACGGCGAGCAATTGCGGGCCAGCTGTGGCTCTCTCTCCAGAATCCGGGGCCCGTTCCTCGCGGACGGTCCCAACTCGCCTCGGATACCTGCCACCAGGTGTCTCCACGAGCAGTGCCCAGCAGCGAGAGGCAAGAGCAGTCGTCGGGGCGCTTTCGCACCGCCAGCATCGCGTGTGTGTCTTCTCTTTGCAGTTTTCTCGTTTGTGAACCGTCTCGCGATCGCTCATAAACGATTTCTCGCGATTAACCCCGAGTATGAAGTCGTCGGTAATCGATTTCGAACTGTGAACAAAACTGTGCTCGTTTGGACCCATCCGCAAGGACCCACAGAGCTCACCTTCGCCAATGGTGCCGGCAACACGTCGGCAACCCCTGATCCTGACCCAGGACGATTTTAACAAAGGGGGAGGATGCAACAGCAACAGCAACAGCAACAGCAGGACCAAGAGCAGGAGCAGGAGCAGGAGCGGGGAATCGTAATGGTCCCGTCTTCTTCGGCATCTACCAGTACAGAGCTCAGGGATGTCGCCAGTGTCACAGAGGCGGGTCTCCCGAATTTTACCCTGCAGAGTGTGGCCCTAGGACTACAGGGAGCTCTCCTGGCAGCTCTTCAGAGAGCAGCCTTGCTACCTCCCGGACACGCCGCAGCTGCAGCTTTGAATCTTCAGGCCTTAGAGACTTATCTGACCCTTCATCGCCTTCATGCCAGCAGTGCAGCACCCGGTGTCAACCAATCTGGCTCTTCAGGGCTGACTGCTACCAGTAATCAGAGGTGCTCTCCCATAAATACTGGACTCGAAAACACCCTGACATCGACGGCACAGTCGAAAAATGATCAGTTAGTCGCCGAGAGGTTGTTGCACTCCGCCGAGGACGAAGAGGAAGCGCGGTTGGATTTTATTGGAGACACTGAGGAGGATTTGGCTCTTCTCGAGGAACAGGAAGTACTGTTGCGAGACACTTCTGTAGCGACTTCCTCCGCGAATCATGAGGTGTTGTTGCGACGGATATCCGATGGGAATCGAGTCAATTCCAGCTCTACGACGGTGCAACAATCGAATCTGTCTCAAATCGTTGCTTCTTCGTTTACATCTCCGGCTTCGTCGTCGGTTTGCTCTTCCTCCTCTTCGTCCTCGTTGTCCTCCTCGTCGCCGCTCCAGGCCACGTCCACCTCCGCTGAATCGAGTATACCGCGGACGTGCAGGGCATCAAGGCCGAAAAAACAGTTCATCTGCAAGTTCTGCAGCAGACAGTTCACCAAGAGCTATAATCTACTGATACACGAGAGAACGCATACCGATGAGAGGCCCTATTCGTGCGACATTTGCGGCAAAGCTTTCCGACGGCAGGATCACCTGAGGGATCATAGGTAAGAGATTTAGATTCATAATTCATAATTCTGCTTGATTAAGATGCTGCGAGTCATTTAATAATGCGATACCACTTCTCCTTTTTAACTAGACGTTGATTAAATTTATTTTCAAGTTTTTTTTTTTTTTTTTTTAGCTTCTTTAGCTTCTTTTTTTCAGCTCCTCTTTAAGTCAAGTTTCTCGACATCAGTTTCAGCTTCAGGTTCCTCTGCATTATTTCGAAACATTTTACTGTCAGTTATAATTATTTATAAATACATTTTCATAACGAATTATAAATTATTGAATCATCATTATAGAAAGTCCGAGCCCTGTTATATAAACTAGAAATCGTCGCGCGTATTGATAATTGAACCCAATTTACCTCTATTCAAAGAAGCCCGTTAAAAGTGCGAAAGAAAGAAAAAATTAGCCTTGCAAGGATCATTTCGCGGAAGAGACGCGGAAGATAAAGTTGCTATTACGTACGCTTATTTGCTAGAACGAAGTGTGCACAGCAAAAGTACCATTACACCAATCATAGCAGCAAGCTTTCTTCTCCGCGCGGTAAAATTTATTGCAATCTTTGTAGTGTCTAAACACGACGAAATAATACACGTGGCTGTGTTTGGTCGAACATGTAATTACGACGTCTGTGTATTAATTACGTTGATCAATTCGTGACAATTTATAGAGCTTTCCGTATCTTGATCATTAATCACCTCGACATCAATCGATACGTTCGCAATTCCCGTTCATTTCAACTCGGTAATTACGCTTAAAAATAGACACACTTAGGCTCTTGGTTTTATTCGTTACTGGCAGTAAGACTCCTCTGTGAATGTGTGTCATGTTCTTTGTGAGTTTGGTAAAAGGAGTTATTGATAGTAATTCAGATGTTGGTTGAAGGGGTAATTGCAATTTGTTTCAATTCAGGCTTTGACAGCTGGTGTCATCTGTTTGTGATTTTGATGTTTATACATATGTGTTGCAATATTATTTCTATTTATTCCATGGCCCATGGAAAGAATTCCAATAATATTTAAGTAAAATATGAAAAGTGACTATTCCCTTCAGGCTTTTATTTCAGTATTTTAGTATTCTAATTATTCTAATAGCTTCAAGATACGTATAAGAATCACTTTATTACACATTTTTAACCATTAGAATACTTATCTATTAAACACATGTTAATCATATAATAACCTCGGTGGCCTGCATCCCTTATAATCCCAACACCTTCAACACTCAAGAATTTATCGATAAACCAATCACCGTAACACACCTCTAATCGTTTCGTAGTTTACAAAATTTCCACGCTCCGATAGCCTAACAATCCTTAATCCCCTTAATCTCGCTGATCCTATTACCAGGATCTTCAACGTCGCGCCAGGTTCGTTCCTTGCGTTATCCTGAGATCATTGACGAGTGTTGATGAACGCATAATGTCAGTAAAATACTATAAATGTAAAAAATTGTTAATAATCTTAAAGTAACCCTCCGTCACCTAAACTAAACGTTAAAATAATTTCATAAAAATAAAAAATTCAATCTCTCTTCTATTGCAGGTATATCCACAGCAAGGAAAAGCCTTTCAAATGCGCCGAGTGCGGTAAAGGATTCTGTCAGAGTAGGACTCTAGCCGTTCACAAGATCCTGCACATGGAAGAATCGCCGCACAAATGTCCTGTTTGCGCCAGGAGTTTCAATCAGAGGAGCAATCTGAAGACCCACCTTCTGACGCACACGGACATCAAGCCGTACCACTGTGCCTCCTGCGGCAAGGTCTTTCGCAGGAACTGCGACCTCAGGAGGCACTCGTTGACCCATAATTTGGGCGTATCAACGTCGCCACCGCCTCCAGGGATCCCTGTACCTGGCTCCAGTGCTGTTGTCCTCCAAGAGACGTCCTAGTGTTCCGAACATTCGGACCCCTCACACTCGGAAGTAGAACAATTTTCTTTTGCACGATCGAGTGTGCCAGAGGGACCTTGAAAAGACCAATTTTGTTATTTCACTGACGATGAATTTGAAGAAGATAAATTTCTTCTCTTGTCGGTTTCACTTTGGTGCTGTTAACGATCGTCAAATATTTTGCCGTTTACTTTTTGGAATGAATTATAGATACTTTGCTGAGACATTCGGGACTCGGCTAATCGTAAGATGGGACATTTTTGCTCCTTGATTTTTTCATGTGTATTTACCTGCGTACGTATTTGTAGTCGTTTATGTTTAGAAAGTAATTTTAAGAGCATATTTGGATGATGCTACTTACAGATTTATATGCTCGTTACTTGTGTAATTGTGTTATGTAGCGTATAGGTATGTGGAGTAAGAGTAAGGAGGATCTTTTTTCTTTTGTATTTTCACACTGTGTACCTATGTACTGTGCCCGTTGTGTTTCGTTTGTACGTGTAAAATAAACTTTTATTATATTATTTTTTAAATTGTCGTTATGCTTGCCGCATGAATTACCTGAATATTTTTCCTTTGTAAATAGACATTTTTGCTAATTTTCAGAATTCTTATCATATGGAATTTTCAGGCGTAGATACGAAATTTATATTATTTTCTCAATTAAGGAAAGTACTATCCAATGAAATTTTCAATATTCTCAACGTGTTAATATGTTAACACTAATAATTCCACGACCCCAACTATTCTTTCGATAGCACAGAGGAAAGTATCAACGATGCAAAAGAAGAAGAAGAAGAAGAAGCAACAACAGCAAAGACGACAACGACGACGATGGAGAAGAGGAAGAAGAAGAAGAAGAAGAAACGCGTGTATCGTGTTACAAAGAGCGAGGCCGCCAGGTGCGCGGGACATGACACCGCGATACGTCTAGGGTTACGTTTCTTTTTCGAAGGTAGGTGCTGGAAAGGCACGAGGTGGGCCTGAAGACGCTATTTCGGGCCCGGGAACTGGCCGAAGACGGGACAGCTCGCGTCGATAAGGAGAATCTCGCACAACCGGTCGACTTCCACTTCTTTCATGCTGTAGTTCGTTCCGAAGCTGGAAACTCGAGGAATCTCGATCCGGATCAGAAAGAAAGAAAAAGAAGGGACACCTTGTGTCCCAGCCTTGTAAAGCAAATTTACATAATTTCGTGACAGCCGCGATCGCGTTCCCTCCTCTCGCGCAAATTAATTCACTGGGATTCGCTAAGCTACGTTTCTACAGAATCTTTGACTATTTATTTCAACCCTGTTGTCTTTAACGCGATTACCTTTCCGATTCTGAAGCAGCTTTTTATTTATATCTTGAATTAATATCGTGAAAATAAAAATTTTGAATATTCCTACTTTCCCAATATCGCCGTTATTTCTAAGAAGCTTGATCTGACCACAAGTGTATTGTACACCTAATATCCTATTAAGGTATACATTTTAACATATTATAAGTTATTACGTTAAATAAATACTTATTATAGAATCTCATATACCTATTTGATATATTTTTTATCAAGAACCTTATCTAAAATTAATTAATTAACCAATGGATGTCTCTTACATCCAAAATGGTTAAGAGGTGCCTATAAAATCCTGCCCATAAACCACCTGAAGGGGGTCAGAACAGTTGGCCTACGGAACCGCGGAAAGCGTATCGTCAGGTAGACACGTATTAAATCGCATATTAACTCTGTCATTTCCCCATTTAAAAGCGAAGAAAGGCAAACCGGTAGGATCCAGGTATAAGGTGAAAAAGAGAGGAGAAGAGGGCTCGGAACGGGCCGGTGCGTTCCCTCAAGCATGGAGGAAGAGACGAAAGGGAAGGTTGGAAGTTAAAGGGGACATAGAAGGACCACACGCACGCGCCGCCCACAGATACGCTATCACTTGGCTACAACCGACGTGATCTGCATGCGCATGTCCTCTCTTCGTCACGAACCAGAAGAAGAAAAAAAAAAGAAACGATCCTGGGTATCAGGGAAAGGGAAAGGGAAAGGAGGATCTTCCCTCCGCCTCTTCCTCTTCTTCTGCACCCTCTTCGCTTAGCTTCGCTGATTTAAGGGGTTGGCAGAGCGTCGATAACACGTCTGGTCAGCCCTACTCTACTCGTTCGGAATTTCTTCTTATTCTTCTTCGTCGTCTCCGGTATATAAGGATATCTTTACACGCGTGCCACAAGGAAGAGACGATTGGGTTACTCTTCCTCGACGATACCGGTATCACGATCGTTTTGTGACTGAAGGACATTTTTATTTTATTTATTTATTTGTGGTGCATTTCTTCTTATCGGGTTTGTTATTGTGGATTCATTTATGCAAATTTTAATTGCAAAATATATTGCACATTGTATGAAAATTGTTGATTACATTGTTGTAAAAATTATAGCAATTAAAAAAAAATATACATCGATTAATATGCTAATTCCATTTACATAATCACCTCGTCGATACATATGAATCTTTTTTATTTCTTTATTTGAAATCTTTCGATCTAATACCTGCATGGGTAATTTCTATCCGAGGCGTCGCGTCGCGTCGTGTCGGATTGAACTTTAGATATTAGATTGCGAGAAATGATAATCGTATGTCGATGCTGTAATTATTTATGTTTCAATGCTTCAAATATGTGTTGCTCATCATATATCAAAGTTCAATGGTACGCAATGATTCCTTTGTTTCTTCGATGTGAAGTTACTTCTGACTAATTAAAGTAAGCTGTTTCAAACGTAACGTAATTAACTCTGGTACGAAGATTGCAGAATCGTTTTGACCCAGTTTGAGGAATGAAATATTGAAAATATAAAAAGCTTATTTATACACCTCATATACTAATTATGGGTTAATATGATAAACGTGGTAAATTATCGTAACAGCATTATTATAAATGATCTAATAGAAAGATCATTAAAAGAATTGAAACAAGATAAAGAGTTCAATGATAAAGAGTTTTAAAATTTCTAAAAATATCAGGTGATTATTTTCGCGTCTTTTCCTCTTTACACGTTATCCTATGGATAAATAAATAACTAATGGGCCGTACGTGTTTTCGCGCAAGAGATCCCGGGTGTAACGTCTCCATAGCCAGCCGAACGAAGTTGTACTTGCCTGCATACGATCGGCGGATACTCACGCACAAGGTGGCCACCCGCAATTCCGCAGGCGTGTATCGTTTAGCAGCTGCACCAAGGGCCACGTGCGAATGGCTTCGCCTCCTTGCCAACCTCGACGTGTTCAACTTGATTTACACGGCTACATGAATGTACTCGAACATCGGTATCTCTATAACAAAAAATGGATACACTTCTTTTGGCAAACATGGATACAGTTTTTCGCTCTTTGGTACAGAATTTAGTAAAAACTAAAAATACTGATATCAATTAAAACAAACCTGTAATGGCCCGGTGATATACCGCCGCGTCGCGACGCGCCGCGTCGGTCGAAAGAATGAGCGAATAAATTACAATACGCTCGTTCCCTGGATGTGACACTTTAAATGGGTAAAAATTGCGCGGCGTTGTTCGCATTGGTTCATGATTGGCGGAGCAAGGAAACACGTGAGTGTACGCACATGCGTGCACGCGTGTGCATGCTAGGGCAGGAAATACGGACGGGCGGACAGGATGACAGACGACAGGATGCCCTGGGCAACCGAGTGGTGACTTGCGCGACATAAGCTCGCACTCGCCCACGTATTCGAGCCTTTAGTGCTCCTCCTCCACCTTCTTCTTCCGCGCTTCCTCTTCCCCTTTAGTACTATTAAAAAAATTATTACAAAAAAAGTGTGTCGTGCCACAATAAGGACAATAAGAAACACCTTGAAAAAATAAATCGTCGATTTTATTTATTGCACTCGCCATGTGTTTTTCAGGACCTTCTTCTTGCGGCCAGCCACAAGTATATTCGCCAACGTGTGACCATAATCATTGTCGCCGGCTAAAGGATATTCAGGAACTACATACGTTGAGGAGATCATGGTCGGTCGCATAAGCGATCTCTTGCAACACGTTACAACCTGTGGTTACCCTTTCTTTACCACATTCTTGCAACTGCGACGAATCGAAGTAAAATTAGGTGTTGTGATTGTTATGATTGTCCATTGTTTTAATGTTTTGACACTTTATTCACAAATCTATAGCTTCAATTTCCATTCATTCATTCCCAACACTAATGGGTTTGTAAAAAAAATATATATACCTAATAGAGCCTTTCAGAATTATAAGAATACCAATAGTGTGAAGCAAACCTTAAGTCCACCGTCGACGTAGTACATACGATCCGGCGACTTATTACGTTACCAATATATCCGTGCGCCTCTACTCGTTACATTAGTTCATTGATTTACACCTTTTACAGTTTATTCTCTCGCGAGATTGGGTCTGGAACATGATATTTGCTTCGCCTTCTATTGAAATATCGTCGAGTATAGTTAACCTCTTAAGTCAGTACAGTGAATATATTCACCGCGAAAAGCGGTTCGTCCTGTGCATAAACTTGCAACAAGACGCGAACGATTGTCCATTTGCGAAAGTTATCAACATCGTTTGAAAAGCTCCTTTAAACTCGTTGAGACTTACTATAGGTAGTATGGCGACGCTTTCTCAAGCAACTGGAAGATCAAATACTTGTTTATGTGAAACGTGTTGACTGGTACAGTAGAACTACCATGTCAGGAATGACATATTAAAGTTTCATTTTTTAATCAAATAGGTATTTATATAACAAAAAGAATTAAATATAGAACTATCTTGTTTAATTTTTCATACATTAATGTCGTTACTTTTATAACTTACATTGCAATTTATATGTAGTTTATTAATTCCATTAGATTTAGTCGCGGCATTTACTTCACCTTTTACAATATTATTAAAAATAGTTAAATGAGCTAAGAGTATTCTCACGGTTATGATGGTTTCTTCATTTCAAAGACCCCGGGGCCTCTAAATCTTCAATCTTCATTGGATACTGTAACTTGTTTGTTATCTTTAAATGCAACACAAATAATGTTAATGATAGTTTCGAGCGAATTGTTAGGCCTTCGATTTTTATTTCAACGCTTTCACTAATAAATTATGAAATCATATGAAAAAAAGAAACGTGGGAAAATAGTTTTCTATTTGAAACTGCATTGAAATTCATTACTTTAATTGTGTAAATACATTTCTACCAACTTCCTGCGATATCAGCTATACATATAGGTACGTACTCTCGCTTCCTAACAAGATCCAAAGTCCCATCTAGCCATTCTTTTCCTTCTCACCCCATTTACCTGTCGCCGTTCGCGTCGTGTGTATCCCCCATGAATAAAAGCATCCTCGTAAACGTCGGTAATTGAAATAGTATTTTCACGTTTTCATTTTCAATATCTCCGACTAAAAGCATTGCGCTGGTTCTGCTTGGACATTTAAGCTCGGCGCCCGGTAAAACATTGTTCAACATAGGTAAACCGGCCTAAGAGCGTATCCATGGTGGTCGTGGTGGAAGATGGTTTCCTCGTCC